AATGTGCTTTGTTCTGTGCTCCAGTCTCTGCTCTCGACACAAGGCCAGCATGGCCTTGTTGTCGACGTACAGGACTGGAGGAGAACAAGGCGGCTCTCCAAGGTCGGTCAGCAGGTAGGTGAGCCAGCGAAGCTCCTGAGCAGCCATGGCCCCTGCGTAGATCTCAGCCTCACAATTGGAGCCGAGAACAGAAGACGAGCGAGTAGCCCGCCACAAAACAGAGCCGGAACCAAGACTGAAGGTGTAACCCTGTGACGACCGCTGCGTAGCCTGGTCGTCAGCCCAAGAAGCGTCTGCGTGTCCTGTGAGGACCACTGGACACCGCCCTCCAAGCACTAGTCCCATGCCCGACGTACTGCACAAGTAGCGCAATACCCTCTTCGCTGCAGCCATGTGCTCTGGTTGGTGTCTCCCAGGAGCAACATAGCGTGCAAGAATGCTAAGAGGGTAAGCAAGGTCAGGTCTTGTGCAGGTCATCAGGTACATGAGACAGCCAACAAGCTCTGGGTACGGGCCACTCGACTCTACGGACTCATCCGAAGGCAGAGCTGAGAGCGAGTGGCGAGTAGACAGAGGAGTGGCCTGAGGCGAGGAGTACGTGAAGCCGAAGCGCTGAAGGACCTGCTGCACCATGTGTGACTGAGTCAGGGTAATGGTGCGGCGTGCTCTGTCCCGGGTGATCTGCAAGCCAAGGTAGCTGCGCAGTTCACCCAGGTCAGTGCACGTGTGTCTCTTCTGCAGCTCGGACTTCACGTAGGCGAGTCGGGAGGGCAATGGTGAGCTCGGTGGGGCAGCGAGCTAGGAAGTGGTCCCTGAGTGAGCGCAGAGTGACAGGGAGGCGCGTGACTAGGCGGTAGAGAGTGAGCCAGAGCGGGGGTGGGTTCTTGGCAAGGAACTCATCAGGCATAGCGGCGCGGAAGCGAGCCTCACTAGTGCGGAGGTGGGTAATGAGATCAGCGACAGTGTGGAAGGAAGCTAAGTCGGGGAACAGGTAGGGAAGAGAGAGACGGCCTAGAGCGGCAGAGGCCGGTGAGGAGTAGCGGGCAACAACAGCAGTGTACAGTGCCTGTGCAGTCTTGTGCTGCCCAAAGTGCTCGCGCTCATCTATCGGCAGAGAGTTGCGAATAGCGAAGCGAGCATGGGCGTCACGAGTCTGCCACTGTGAGCGGGCAGTGCTGTCAGCAGTAGCAACAGGAGCAGTAGCGTGGCCTAAGGCGTGATCGTACAGCGAGATGTCTTCCTTGGCAGTGAGCTGTAGGAAGAGGTGTAGATCATCAAGCCAGGTGTCGAACTTCACTGGGCGGCCCTCAGCATCGAAGGCTAGTACAGGAGGGCTAGCCATAGTAGCAGCAGTAGGAAAAGCAGTAGGAGCAGTAGGGTAGGTAGGGCGGCGCGGCTTGGTACAGGTAGGGCAGCGCGGCTCGGTATAGGTAGGGCGGCGTGGCTCGGGTCGGGCGGCGCGGCTCGGTTCGGGCGGCTCAGGTCGGTTAGGGCTGGCGGCTCGGGTCGGGCGGCTCGGTTCCGTTAGGGCTGGGCGGCTCGGGTCGGCTCGGTTCGGGCTGCTCGGTTCAGGGCCGCTAAGGGCGAGCGCGGGGAGCAGGTGGGGCTGTGAGGGACGAGCGCGGGGCCGACGTGGGCGTTAAGGGCGAGCGCGGGGCCTAGTGGGGCCGTGAGGGACGAGCGTGGGGCCGATCGAGGCCGATCGGGGCCATAAGGGACTAGCGCGGGGTCGACGGGGCCGTAAGGGACGAGCGCGGGGCTGACGGGGCCGTAAGGGACGAGCGCGGGGCCGACGCGGCCGTAAGGGACGAGCGCGGGGCCGATCAGGGGCCTCTAAGGGCTAGCGCGGGGCCGATCGGGGCCGTGAGGGACTAGCGCGGGGCCGATCGGGGCCGGAAGGGACGAGCGGGGGCCGACACGGGGCCGCTAAGGACGAGCGCGGGGCCGACACGGGCCTCTAGGGGCTAGAGCGCGGGGCCGACGGGGCCTCTAGGGGCGTGAAGGCCGAGGCGCCCTAGGGCGTAGGTAGGTAGGTAGGTGGTGGGCCCTAAAAAATTCGGACCTAGGAAGGACCTGCTCTATACCATGTTGAACAAGAATGAATGAACTAACAGTGAAATGAGTACAAGTATGGAAACCTAGAAATGTGTACCCCCTATAGGCTAACCCACTGTAGCCTAAACAACTACAACAACATACATAATATTTGACAGGTGTGAGTGTGGGTGGTGTTGTTGCGAACCTGTTTGAATTGAGGCAAGACGTAGGAGTCGATGGGTTGAGCGTGTGAGTCGAGGGGTTGAGCACGTGAGTCAAGGGGTTGAGTACGTGAGTCGAGGGGTTGAGCGTCTGAGTCGAGGGGTTGAGTGTGTGAGTAGAGGGGTTTAGAGTGTCGGTCGAGGGGTCGAGCTTGTGAGTCGAGGGGTTGAGTGTGTGAGTCGAGGGGTTGGGCGTATGAGTCGAAGGGTTGAGCGTGTGAGTCGAAGGGTTGAGCGTTTGAGTCAAAAGGTTGAGCGTGTGAGTCGAGGGGTTGAGTGTGTGAATCACAAGATGTGGGAGTGGCAACTGTTCTTGGGAGTAGTTTCGAGTTGTGGCATGCAAGGTGCTGTTAGAAACGGCGGGTCGAAGTGAGAGGCAGTTATGTGCATCTATAAGGTTTTCTTATGCAAGTCTTTTTCTCCCCCTTTCGTCTTGTTGCCACTGATGGTTAACTCAAAGGTTTGTGTGGCTGGTGTTGTCGCCCGACGGTTGATTGGCATGCTGTTAGATTCAAGACCTTTCTGGATAGGATAGGTCTGCTTGGAGTTTAGGCAGCGGAAGTCTTGAATTTTGGTGGTGAAACCTTGTTGCATAGTGAATGTAATTGACAAGGATTGATTAAAATAAAATCATTACAAACAATAATTAGATCCCAACTAGCCATGTACTCTGAGGGGAACATTCTCATATTAACCGTAATACATCGTTACAGTGCTAGCAATCCTTCAGTTACCCGGTTGCTTTCTATAACTGTAGGGACAAGTTACGCCAGTTGTATTTTTTTTCGCAGGTAATCGCTCGGGCCAGGTCAGTCAACAGACGCGAAAGTTCTCTCGCAACTATTGACATGCATGCCTTTTATGGGCTAACGCGCTAATGGTACAGGTACTGCTTTAACAGTAGCAGGTACGAGACTACTGCACCTTCACGCTTGCGTAAGTGTGCCACGTGGCTTGCTAGTCGAGCATGTTATCGCCCTCTCTCGCAGCAACTGTCACAGCCACGGTTGCTGAGGTTCATCCCGCAAAACGCATTTGCGCCACCGCCCTGGTGCCACAGCATGCGGCATCACTGCCGTCTCTGTCCCTCCCACTCTATCCCTCTGTCTCTGTCCCTCCCCCTCTATCCCCCCTTCTCTGCCCCTCCCCCTCTGTCCCTCCGTATCTGTCCCTCCCCCTCTGTCCCTCCGTCTCTGTCCCTCCCCCTCTGTCCCTCCCCCACTGTCCCTCCCCCTCTGTCTGGCTCCTCTTGTCCCTTCCCCTCTGTGACTCCTCATCTTGAAAAGGGAGGGTACGTGGGAGCAGGTACGCGAGGGTGGATGGTGGGGGGGCTGGAGACGGGTGTATGGAAGCGAGGGCGATGAGGGGAAGTGACGGCGACAAGGGAAGGGCAGGAATGGGGAGGGTAGGTGGGTGGAATGTGAGGCGGAAGGAAGGTGGTATGTTGGGAGGAAGGTGGTTGGCATGTGGGGGGAAGCTGGGGGGAACGCGGGGGGGAGGAAAGCGAACACAGTGAGGGGAAGGTGGAAGATATGTGGGGAGAAAGGTTGGTGGTAGGAGGGGGAGGAGGCGAGTGGAGGGACACGGATACTAGGGGAGAGTGTGTGACGGGACGGGTGGATGGGGCGCGAGATGCTAGCACGGTATAGCGTAGAGGGAGATGGGTGGGCAAGTGCGAATGACGAGCAGTGCAAGCGGGGGTGATATGGATGGCGATGAGAGGGACAGCAAAGGCGGCGCGCAGGGGAAGCAAAGGCGGCGTGCAGGAGAAGCGAATGCGATGCGCAGGGGAAGCGAAGGCGACGATAAGGGCCGCGAAGGCGACGGACAAGGGGAAAAGAAGGCGACACGCAAGGGAAGCGAAGGCGACGCGCATGTAGCAAGCGCGAGCCACGAGCTGCGTAAGCCACGCGACGGACAGGGAAGACGCGAGCGTGAAGCGTGGGAATGGGACTCGAAGTGGGCCCAAGTTGTGGTGAAGTCGACGAAGAGAAGCGTGGGCGACGAGCCTAAACTGTGTGAGACGGGGTGCCCCAAGTGAGTGGCGGCATGGTTCTTAGACAAGAGCGCATTAGAGTTCAGTCGTGCGCACGACTGAATTACATATTGTCACAAGGTCCGTTTGTTGGCAGCCACCGTAGAGTCTACTAATAGAGAGTTGTGTCGACTTCGCGAGATGTATTCGTGACGTATTATTGCATTGGAGTGAGCACTACAAGGAACTTTAGGCGTGAATGATGGGAGAACTACTACTACTTAGCCCATATCACAAAAAACTGGGCTTGAAAACAAGCGGTTTTGGTTAGGTTTTCTGCCCAACCAATGGAAATCCGTCGGAACATTCTCAACTTGTTCCGACGGAATTCCACCGAGTGGCGCACTGGTATCGCCACTGTATTTTCCGTCGGTTTTCCATCTCAAAGGGACTGGATGATTTCCGATGGAAAGCAGACACGGTTTCCGGCGGATTTCCACTACCATCGCGCTTCGGTCGAAATGAGATTCCCTAGCAATAAACATGATAAATTATTTTAATGTACAGTCAAAACATGGACAATGTAAACGTTGCAAGACCCAATTTTATTTCCTACATATTTCATACCAATAATTATTAATACGTAGCTAAACCTGAACGATTTCAAATGATACTAATTGGCTGTTGTGCTTCACCTGAAGAAAAATGTGTCTACAAACATAAATTATTCAGACAATAAAAGCAACAAATCCGGTAAACATGTTGCGCTACTTCAGAACAATAGTCGTCTTCTTGAATCCAGCCGCGTAGTCACTCGCATCAACGAGGATGCCGTTGCCAAACACAAACACGTCCCTGTCTTCATCATAGCCCACCCCAAGGTTGGTGACGGCATGCTCCACCCACTTCCAGCACCACTTGACTTTCTCCTCGTACAATGGCCTGTTGTAGTCGGGTTTGCTGCTCAACTTCCCGTCGGCGGTCTTCTCCAAGATCGGGTATTCCAACTGCAATGAACGATAATGGCAATAAGATTCTGGACAGGATGGAACAAAAAAATCAAAATCAGAATCAAGGGGCTTGTACTTACAGCGAACAATGCAAACGCAATCTGGCGGGTCTTCCATACCCCCAGTGCCATGCCCGATCTCACGAATGCAGCGAAAATTCCCGCACTGAAGATTTCGCTCGAAAAAGGCCACTTCGTGTTGTCGTCTACGTGCCAGCCCGGTCCCCACTCTTCTGTAAAGTTGAAAAAGGGAGTTCAGGAAAGGGTGAGTAAGGCAGGGGCGGGACAGAGATGGGGGGAAAGGAGCAGGTTAGGCACCTTATACGCCCTGCAGTGGCTCTGCCAGGCAGAGAGTAAGGCAGGGGGATAACGGAGATGGGGGGAAAGGAGCAGGTTAGGCACCTTCTACGCCCTGCAGTGGTTCTGCCACGCAGAGAGTAAGGCAGGGGCGAGACGGAGGTGGGGGGAAAATAGCATTTTAGGCGCTGCCGTGCCTTGCAGTGGCTCTGCCAGGCAGAGAGTAAGGCAGGGGTGAGACGGAGATGTGGGGAAAGGAGCAGGTTAGAATCTTCCGTGCCTTGCAGAGGCTCTGCCAGGCAGAGAGTACGGCAGGGGGATAACGGAGATGGGGGGAAAGGATCAGGTTAGGCGCTCCCATGCCTTGCAGTGGCTCTGCCAGGCAGAGAGTAAAGGAAGGGGCGAGACGGAGATGGGGGGAAAGGAGCAGGTTAGGCACCTTCTACGCCCTGCAGTGGCACTGCCAGGCAGAGAGAAAGGCAGGGGGATAACGGAGATGGGGGAAAGGAGCAGGTTAGGTGCTGCCGTGCCTTGCAGTGGCTCTGCAAGGCAGAGAGTAAGGCAGGGGCGAGACGGAGATGGGGGAAAAGGAGCAGGTTAGAATCTTCCGTGCCCTGCAGTGGCTCTGCCAGGCAGAGAGTAAGGCAGGGGCGAGACGGAGATGGGGGGAAAGGAGCAGGTTAGAAACTTCCGTGCCTTGCAGTGGCTCTGCCAGGCAGAGAGTAAGGCAGGGGGATAACGGAGATGGGGGGAAAGGAGCAGGTTAGGCACCTTCTACGCCCTGCAGTGGTTCTGCCAGGCAGAGAGTAAGGCAGGGGCGAGATGGAGATGGGGGGAAAATAGCATTTTAGGCGCTGCCGTGCCTTGCAGTGGCTCTGCCAGGCAGAGAGTAAGGCAGGGGCGAGACGGAGATGGGGAGAAAGGAGCAGGTTAGAATCTTCCGTGCCTTGCAGTGGCTCTGCCAGGCAGAGAGTAAGGCAGGGGCGAGACGGAGATGGGGGGGAAATAGCATTTTAGGCGCTGACGTGCCTTGCAGAGGCTCTGCCAGGCAGAGAGTAAGGCAGGGGGATAACAGAGATGGGGGGAAAGGAGCAGGTTAGGCGCTGCCGTGCCCTGCATTGGCTCTGCTTGGCAGAGAGTAAGGCAGGGGCGAGACAGAGATGGGGGGAAAGGAGCAGGCTAGGCACCTTCTACGCCCTGCAGTGGCTTTGCCAGGCAGAGAGTAAGGCAGGGGGATAACGGAGATGGGGGGAAATGAGCAGGTTAGGCATTGCCGTGCCTTGCAGTTGCTCTGCCAGGCAGAGAGTAAGGCTGGGGGATAACGGAGATGGGGGGAAAGGAGCAGGTTAGGCGCTGCCGTGCCTTGCAGTGGCTCTGCCAGGCAGAGAGTAAAGGAAGGGGCGAGACGGAGATGGGGGGAAAGGAGCAGGTTAGGCGCTGCCGTGCCCTGCAGTGGCTCTGCCAGGGAGAGAGTAAGGCAGGGGCGAGACGGTGATGGGGGGAAAGAAGCAGGTTAGAATCTTCCGTGCCTTGCAGTGGATCTGCCACGTAGAGAGTAAGGCAGGGGCGATACGGAGATGGGAGGAAACTCGAAGATCCTATACATGGCTGCTTACTCACCGTTCCCATAGCCGATCAACAGCTCGGCGTCGTCAAGCTCCTTGGGGTCCTCGACACCATCGTGGTCGTTTCTTCTCTTGATGCCCAGTGCTACAAGCACCTTCTTGCGAAGCCTTTTGGCGATGAGGCATCGAGTGTTCGTGTAAGTGTTGGAGACCATTTTCAGGCTTCGTTTGCATCGGAAAGTCCACAAAATCTCTAGGTGTGGAGCAGCTGCCGGTGACATCATATTTTTTAATCCAATCAGGGTTTTGTTGTTATTTGGGTAAAACTGGATGCCGTTTGCACTGTTTGTCCAGAAGAAACACGTCGTCAGCTTGCTGCAAAATTTCTGCCATGGAAGCAAGGTGATGCGCGAGTATGTAAACGTTAGAAGGAGGTTTGTACTCACAGCGTCCACGACAAACAAAAGAACCGGCACACCGGAACAGTTAGAGTTATGAGTACACTTGGGTTTAGAAAAGAGGCGCATTTCGCATGGCTCACCTGCCAGCCCCCGGTTTCCGCGTTGATGAAGTCGCGGGCAATTTCCTCCGGGGACTTCACACGCACCGGCTCCTTCACCGGTTTAGACCCACCATCCTGAGTTCCGCCACCCTCCCCGTTGGCATCATGCTTGTCACATCCGGCACACCGCCTGCAGAGCTGCCCTAGCAGCTCATCCCGTAGTGCTTGCAGATCAGCCATTGTTGCATATGTATTTTGTGCAACTTTTTCACTTACAGACGCGACAGCACACGACCTGGGCATCCCGGCACCGATTCCTGGCCTTGGCATAGCAACCGGCCTCTGTGAACCAGTTGATGCTGCTGCATCGGGTCCGCGAGAACCAGAAGATCGGCCAGCCGTTGGTGCGCGACCCTGACTGCCATTTGATGGCAGAGGTGCTGCACCCCGTGCCACACCATTCATACCACCCCCGCTGGCATTGGATTGGGATCTATCACCCATGTTCGACCCTCCAGGTTGTGCCCCTGCACGACCACCACCAGCTGATGCCATGGGACCCCATCCTCTCTGCGTATGATTGGGCTGCCCAGTGCTGCCCCCTGCACTGTTAACCCTTGGGCTGCCCCGTCCACGCCCGACTGAGACCGGGGAGTTGTGTGAGACTACGGGGGCCAGACCTGGGATCATACGGCTTCCATGACCTGCCGAAGTAGATGGTGCAGGTTGCCCTGCTCCTCCTAATCCCAGTCTGTACGACGCAACCCCGCCTCGGCTTGCACCACCTGCACTGAGCATGTGAGCCCGTGGTAACCCTGACATCGTTGCCCTTCCTCCCCCGCCATTGGTCATTCCAGGACGTGCAGGTGCAGGGGCTGAAGTGGCCGGGTGGGCATTGCCTGTGCCTTGAGACGCGTAGGCACTGCCGACTTGCCCTCCTGACAGGTTGATTCACGGTGGACCAGCAGCAGTCCCTGAACGATTGGAGTGTGCCAACCCCATGTTCAGTGGGGCTGCTGCAGCTACTGGCCGAGGTCCTCCCGTTCCCACCACCGGCTGATGTGTTGGGACCACTGCCGGAGCACGTGAGATGTGCTGTTGCTGGAAAATACCCAGAAACTGCTGTCCAGGTGCAGACGCCCCCAGTTGAACATGGCATATTTCCATGGGCGGGCCAACACCCGTATTCGCGATGTTAACTGCCATGCCACGAACATAGGCAACACGGGAAAAGGGTCATTTTGCGTAGGGCGCATGGAGAAAGGGGATGGGGCGAGCGGAGAGTGTGAGAGCGTGTGTGCTCGCGCAGATAGTGCACCGGCATGCTCATCCGGCAACGCTACGTTCATGTGCGTGAGCGGACCAAGGCTACCATTGACTCTCTTACCATAACAAGCAGCATGGTGATGGCCACTCATGCCAAATTTTGCCTACCTGCTGCTCCCCTTCCTCTCCCCCGTCCCGTGCCAGTAGCTCGGCCTCTGCCACCACCAGCTCCTTGTTCGCCACCCCGATTGCCGCCTCGCCCTCCCCCTCTCCCTTCGACGCGTCCTCCACCCGTCCCATCGCCACGACCTCCCCGACCTCCGGCCCTCCCTCCTCCTCTCTCTCCGCCTCTCCCTCGGCCTCTCCCTCTCCCTCGTCCTCCTCCCCTCCCTTCGCCTATCCCTTCACCTATCCCTTCGCCTATCCCTTCGCCTATCCCATCGCCCAAGCCTCCGGCCAGCCCACCGTCTCGCCATCCCCCCCGACCACCGCCACGTCCTTTCACGCGCTCACCTCCGCGCTCACCTCCGCGCTCACCTCCACGCTCATCTCCGTGGCCCCCACCTCGCCCTCTGCCTCGCCCCACTCCACACGCTTGCCGGGGTTGCTCTGGTATTTCTTCTTCGCGGCCACGTTTCCTTGCAGCACGTTTGGCGTTGTGCAGCATGCTTCCACGTCCCGCTGCAGGAGGAGCATTCAGCGTCGCCATTGCTCTCCCCTTACCCCGCTCCAACGCTCTCTGCTCCTCAACATCCTCATCCATTGTCGACGCCTGGCTCTGTTGTGTGGCCATTGCTTGCGCTCCAGGGTACATGATATTCTCAATGTCGTCATCATCTTCAGCTCCATGACTGTGCGGCTGGGTAGGTTCGCCACCTTCTCCGCCGTCGCCTGCAGCGCCGTTCTCTTCATCGCATTGGTCTTCCTCTCCCGCAACTCCATCCCCCCCCTCGCCCGCATATCCTTCCCCCTCCTCTGCCGAAACTCCATCCCCCCCCTCGCCCGCATATCCTTCCCCCTCCTCTGCCGCAACTCCATCCCCCCCCTCGCCCGCATATCCTCCCCCCTCCTCTGCCGCAACTCCATCCCCCCACTAGCCGGCATATCCTTCCCCTTCCTCTCCCGCAACTCCATCCCCCCCCTCTCCCGCATATCCTTCCCCCTCCTCTCCCGCAACTCCATCCCCCCCCTCGCCCGCATATCCTTCCTCCTCCTCTCCCGCAACTCCATCCCCCCTCTCGCCCGCATATCCTTCTCCCGCATCTCCGTCCCCCCGCTCTCCCGCATATCCTTCCCCCTCCTCTCCCTCAACTCCATCCCCCCCCTCTCCCGCATATCCTTCCCCTCCCTCTCTCCCGTCTCCTCCCCCCCCCTCTCCCGCATATCCTTCCCCTCCCTCTCTCCCATCTCCCCCCCCCCCTCTCCCGCGTAGCCTTCCCCTAATTCCGCCTGATTCTGCACCCCGTCCCCTGCGTATGCATTTCCATCTTCCCCAGCGTATCCTTCACCCGCATCTGCAAATGCCGCCACCCCGTCCTCCGCAAACCCTTCTTCCCCTTCTGGGCCATTCCCCATACCCGCTCCCATCACGTAAACGTCTTCCGCTCCTCCCTCTTGCCAATTTTCCTCCTCTTCCGCAGACCCCTCCCCTCCTTCCATTTCTTGTCCGAACTCCTCTCCTTCCTGATTAATGTACCCTGCACCTTGCCCCTCTTCGCCTCCTCCCCCCGCGTACGCGTTGCCTTCCCCATCGTACCCTTGCCCTTTTTCTGTGTACCCTTCCTCGCCCTCGTCCTCGTACTCACCACCATCACCCATTGTGACGGACGCCTCGTAGGCAATACACGAGCCGGTTGGTTAGCGTCAGCGAGGGATTTTCTTAACCCTGATCTCCGACGCCCATTGATGAAACACGGGAAATCGTAGCTCACGGTAAAACAGTGGTGAAGGCGACGTAGGCTGACTGCAGGTGCAGAGCAACTAAGGCAGATTGGCAAGAGAGGGAAGGGATTGGTACCAGCAAGCTAGCTTGCTGGAGGAGAGAGGGACTACAGTACCTAGCTGCTCAGCTAGGGTCGTTCGAGCTTCGTTGCTGGGGTCTTCCAACGTCTTGGCTGTACAGTGATGCCATTTGGGGTCTCCAACCAGCTGGCTCAAGCAGATGTCAGCAGTAGCGATGCCAGCAAGCCAAACACGACCACTTGCGTTGAGGTGTGACAACATTTTCCGGCGGGAACGAAATCGTCGGACTCGCACCGACAACCAAGCATATTTTTCGATGAGAGTGACTATTCAGTCTCCCACGGACACCCAATGTTCCTATGTGTACGAACTAAGCCCTTAAATACAGTGTGCGGGCAGAGCAAGCTTGCCATAAAAGAGGGGAGAGGTTGCAAACCGTCGATAGAACAGGTTTTTGCTGGTCGCAAAAGCTTCGAGAAGGAAGCCAGGCAGCTCACAATCGCGACATTGGATGCAACTTGTTCAGTGTTTGTAGTAGCGTGCAACTGATGGTGGCGTGAGCAGTGAGGCTTGAACTGTTGCGGGCAATTGGCATTGTACGTGTACGTGAACTGTTCACAGGATGCGATGCAGTCTAAGGACAATGCTGCCAGGTGAGCCAAGTCTGGCGTGGCAGTATCGCCTAGGCGAAATCGGCTCTGTATGAGACTGGTGCACAGTGTTGAATACATTTTCAAACATATTCTTGCCTATAATCCATACTTGTTGAAAAAAGTTTACATGGTTAACGAGCAATATATTGGTCACTTGCAAAGCTAGGTATGCATTAAGGGGTGTCAATTGAAAGTACGCTAAGTCATGCAGGGCGGTGAAACAACGGAAATATGAGCACGACATAGTGTATGAACTACTATCCGATTCGAAGCAGCAAGGTGTTTGAAGGGTATAAGGTGCAGAAAAGGTATTGAAGTGCAAAGAAGGACATGAGGTGCAGCCAAGAATATGAGGTGCAGAGAAGGATATGCAGTGCAGTGAAGGATAAGAGGTGCAGAGATTGATGTGAGGTGAACGTGAGGATGTGAGGTGCAGAGATTGATGTGAGGTGAACGTGAGGATGTGAGGTGCAGAGATTGGTGTGAGGTGAACGTGAGGATGTGAGGTGCAGAGATTGATGTGAGGTGAACGTGAGGATGTGAGGTGCAGAGACCGACGTGAGGTGAACGTGAGGATGTGAGGCGCAGAGATTGATGTGAGGTGAACGTGAGGATGTGAGGTGCAGAGATTGGTGTGAGGTGAACGTGAGGATGTGAGGTGCAGAGATTGATGTGAGGTGAACGTGAGGATGTGAGGTGCAGAGACCGATGTCAGGTGAACGTGAGGATGTGAGGCGCAGAGATTGATGTGAGGTGAACGTGAGGATGTGAGGTGCAGAGATTGATGTGAGGTGAACGTGAGGATGTGAGGTGCAGATATTGATGTGAGGTGAACGTGAGGATGTGAGGTGCAGAGACTGATGTGAGGTGAACGTGAGGATGTGAGGCGCAGAGATTGCTGTGAGGTGAACGTGAGGATGTGAGGTGCAGAGATTTTTACGAGGTGCACATGAGTATGTGAGGTGCATAGACGAGTCATCATAAGGATATGAGGTGCATAGCAGGATATGAAGTGGAAGAAAAGGAGTGGAGTTTGGAGGGGAGGTGAGGAGGGAGCAGTTGTGCTAATGGATGCAGAGAAGGAGATGAGGGGGTGGCCGAGAGTGGGTGATGTGAACATAGGACACCGCAATAACATTGACGCACAACACTCAATACTCGCTAGCAAAGGTTTATACAAGCAAGCTCATGCGTGACGGACGCAAAGATATACTAGTCAAACAGTTCCTTGATACCATCAAGCATATCATCCTAGATGCCCAGTTCGCGATTGTGCAGCGGATCCGGATCCAAAACACCTTGGCGCCACACCTCCCTGAAAAGGTCCTGATGCCACTGTGCTCTGGAAACATCATGCCGCCACACCTCCCTGAGAAGATCCTGCCGCCAAACGTCTCCGTTCGCCGGACGGGCCCTACACTTCGCTGCTCGCCGGCTGCGGACAGGATAATCCGCAACATACAAAAATAACGGATGGCCAACACCGGCGGCCGGAACATAAATGGAAGGGACCGGGTCCATGGATGGAGCCGTACAGCAAGCCGGTGTGTGCAGAAAGTCTGCAAAGTGTGTGAATGGGAGAACAGTGGGGGAGCATGGGATTAGCTGGACGTTGAACACTAGAGATTGTGGGATTGCCAATAAGGGAGGAGCACGGGAGAGAGCGATCAGCGCAGCACAGGGAGAAAAGGCAAGCATGCGCCATCTCATGGAGCACAAGTGCGCAACACGGGAGAGAGAAATAGCGTAGCATGGTGAGAACAGGGTTTGCATGCATAAATGAAACGAGCCGTGGGAGAGCTGACATAAAGCAAGGGAGAGAGCTGCCATGCAGCAAGGGGCTGGAACTGAAATGCAGTATGATAGACTACTTAAGCAACGGAGAGAGCTGACATGCAGCAAGGGAGAGAGCTGACATGCAGCAAGGGGCTGAAACTGAAATGCACTATTATAGAGAGACAACTTGCAGCAACGGAGAGAGCTGACATGCAGCAAGGGAGAGAGCTGACATGCAGCAAGGGAGAGAGCTGCGCAGAAAGGGAGAGAGCTCAAACGCAGCAAGGGTGAGAGTTGGCAAGCAGCATGAGCGAGAGCTGACGTGCAGCAAGGGAGAGAGCTAGCATCAGCATGGGAGGGAGCTCAAATGCAGCATGGGTGAGAGATGACATGCAGCAAGAGCGAGAGCTGACATGCACCAAGGGAGAGAGCTGACATGCAGCAAGGGGCTGGAACTGAAATGCAGTATGATAGAGAGACTACTTGCAGCAACGGAGAGAGCTGACATGCACCAAGGGAGAGAGACTACTTGCAGCAAGGGGCTCGAACTGACGGTGTGCTATCCCGCGGCGCGCAGGGGAGCAAGACACGAGGATGATACTTTCGCGCTAGATATCCAAATCTAAGGTGAGGGGATATCTGCGCAAACAACTGAGGGATCGCAACATCATCATGGGAGAGAATGAACAGCAACAACGGAGGGTGTATGAAAGAAGAACCGTCGTTAGCGGATTAGAGGCAAGGTATCGGATGGAGAAGCGACGAGGCAGAGGCATTTGTGGTAATGCCGCGATGGGGAGAATGTTAAGTGGATGGGAAGGGTGATTGGTGAGGTGAGCAGACGAGAAATGTTAGATTGTGTGCGAAAGGAGAGTGCAGTTGGTTGCTGAGTGACGATGTGGGCAGAATCATGGCGATTCCGCATCGCGAGGGGATGCAGTAAGCGAGGGGAGTGTAGGAGCTCACTAAAATGCAGTGAGACACCTATCGCCACTTCACAATACCGTAGCGCGCCAGGATGATACTTTTTTATGCTTGACGATGCCCTGATCTCTAGAGCAGAGGGACGCGCAGCAACGGCGCAGCTACACGCAGGATATAGCGGGAGCGTTGCCTAATCGCGTGGCTGGAGAGAATAGATGCGTGAGAAGAGGTTTCAAGACAGTGATGGGTACCGTGCTTTGACAGACTGTAAGCTTCGAACGTCGAAGAACAAGTCTGATGCATACTAAATTCGAGAAGCGTGGGCCGGGGGTGGGGCCTCCCAGGCACTGAAGTGCTATGGTGCGTTGCTTAGCCGGTGAGGGGTGGGGGGAAACTGACACCCGTTTGACGCGATTGGTCACTGATTTCCCGCCGAACGTACTTTTCACACCACCAATCGCAGCGTTTGCTTTGTGGAGTTGGGTCGGGCGGTGCCCATTACAAGCATCGGTGGATTCCTTATTATTCATGTGGTGTGGGTTTTTGCAATGAGAACAGTAATCTGTACTCCAACGCCTGCATCACTTATTAACACGATGTACCCAGCCGTGAACGATACGAGTAATTCGAGTGACAGAGCATCGCGGATAAAACGTTCCCGCGCCGCCATCTCGCATACATGGTGCTTTACTCACTAGGGCGACTTCGAATTTCAAACTCGTAAATCGAAATGTAGGTTCAAACCATGTCGTCGCCTTGCGCGTCATGCTGCCGCGTCACCTACCATCACCCTCTCGTTATTTGTATGATGCGTAGGGCGAGGCTAGATTCTGGCGGATGTGCCTTGTAGAACTCAACTCCTCGTTTTCTAGTCTCCTGGCTTGTCAATATTGATTCATAGCCTTCCACTCACCAGCACCACGCTTTCTATACACGACATCATCGCACGTGATACTCGCTTAGCTCGTCAGGCTACGAATAAATATGGCCCTCGCGCTTCACTGAGATGACTAACGGAGCTCTTCGCGCTAGAACCTGTGAACAAGCACCAGAACAGCTTGCCCCATCTCTCCGCTACCTGGCTCTCGCGTAAACTTCCTTCCGCGGTAACTGTCCGTTGTACTCGTTGGTCGCGCGGCTCGCGTGCGTCACCCTTGCTCCTTCTACCGCCTAAACTTAGACTGCAACAACCAGATAATGCCCACGCTGTCAGGAACTCGTGTCATGAGGCCGTCTAGGTTTTAACTCGACGGACCGCCGTAGATAGCATGAATCCCAACAGAATTCGTTGCATATTTTGCAAAGAGTGGTTTCGAAGTGCGCAAGTCTTTGGCCAGCACAAGGCCTGGGCCGGAACGTGCCGTGAGAAATATGCTGCACGGCAGTGTGGTAGGCCGTCCGCGCAAGAACATGTTGTTCTTGTCACCTCGCCCATCCCTGATGCGAGAAATCATGCGGATCAAGAACCGGCCACTAATGTGCGTGAGGATCACGTACTCGAGCAAGACGCAGGGGATAACTCTGCTGGCAGCAACTCCTCCTGTTCCTTCCCTGAGCATGAGCTGCCATCTGGGCCCACGAACGAGGATACTGCAGCGTCATCTCCGGGTACCACTAACTGCAGAAATGCTGACCCACCCCCTTCCATCCCAACGAGCTTCGAGAGGCCCCTGCCCACCAATCCTGCAGCCCTCCGTTTCCTGCATTTTGTGCGGAAAGCCAACGGCCGCCTCGGTTTGGAAGAGACTGGCATCAACGCCCTGCTGCAGCTTCTTATGGTTCCCGAGCTTGCACAGAAGGTACTCGAGGAGTACACCAACTGCAGGGAGCTCGAGCAATTCGAGCTTAGCCAACTGCAAGGCCTAGGCCGTGGGTACTCCACTGTAACCTTCAAGGTCACGGGCTTCCCGGCACAGACGCTGTTTTTCCGCAACTCATTGCAGGTTCGTGTGGTGACTGTTCCTTACCTTTTTGTGCTTTCGATGCAAGTAGCAATCTGATGCGAATATGATACTCCCTCTACTTTCTCCTCGCAGGCGCTTGCCGACCTGTTTGGGGATCCCCGCAATGCACCGGGGTTCGTTCTGAAGCCGCGGGAGGACTATGACCCTGAAACCAAGGAGAGGAGGTACACCACGCCGGAGACGGGGACATGGTGGCATGAGGCGCAGGTGAGATTGCAACTCGGCCCGATTAATGGTGTCGTCCTGCCATGTCATCAGATTTGGACACGGTCGCAAGCTCACGCATTCCAGGTGATCCATCCATCGGTTAACTATCGGCCAGGAGAGGGACAGTGGGCGGACAGAGGAGAGGAGGTGTGAGATATTCACCGCCATGCTCCTCCTTGCTTCACCCCTGCACTTAATCCCCCCTCCCCCCCTACCATCCCCATGCTTGTCTCTCTAAACATCGGCAAGGTGAGGGACATAGGTGGGCGGACAGAGGAGAGGAGGTGTGAGATATTCACCGCCATGCTCCTCCTTGCTCCACCCCTGCACTTATTCCCCCTTCCCCCCCTACCATCCCCATGCTTGTCTCTCTAACTATCGGCCAGGAGAGGGACAGAGGTGGGCGGACAGAGGAGAGGAGGTGTGAGATATTCACCGCCATGCTCCTCCTTGCTTCACCCCCGCACTTAATCCCCCCTCCCCCCCTACCATCCCCATGCTTGTCTCTCTAAACATCGGCCAGGTGAGGGACAGAGGTGGGCGGACAGAGGAGAGGAGGTGTGAGATATTCACCGCCATGCTCCTCCTTGCTCCACCCCTGCACTTATTCCCCTTTCCCCCCCCTACCATCCCCATGATTGTCTCTATAACTATCGGCCAGGAGAGGGACAGAGGTGGGCGGACAGAGGAGAGGAGGTGTGAGATATTCACCGCCATGCTCCTCCTTGCTCAACCCCTGCACTTATTCCCCCTTCCCCCCCTACCATCCCCATGCTTGTCTCTATAACTATCGGCCAGGAGAGGGACAGAGGTGGGCGGACAGAGGAGAGGAGGTGTGAGATATTCACCGCCATGCTCCTCCTTGCTTCACCCCTGCACTTAATCCCCCCTCCCCCCCTACCATCCCCATGCTTGTCTCTCTAAACATCGGCCAGGTGAGGGACAGAGGTGGGCGGACAGAGGAGAGGAGGTGTGAGATATTCACCGCCATGCTCCTCCTTGCTCCACCCCTGCACTTATTCCCCCTTCCCCCCCTACCATCCCCATGCTTGTCTATATAACTATCGGCCAGGAGAGGGACAGAGGTGGGCGGACAGAGGAGAGGAGGTGTGAGATATTCACCGCCATGCTCCTCCTTGCTTCACCCCTGCACTTATTCCCCCTTCCCCCCCTACCATCCCCATGCTTGTCTCTATAACTATCGGCCAGGAGAGGGACAGAGGTGGGCGGACAGAGGAGAGGAGGTGTGAGATATTCACCGCCATGCTCCTCCTTGCTTCACACCAGCACTTAATCCCCCCTCCCCCACTACCATCCCCATGCTTGTCTCTCTAAACATCGGCCAGGTGAGGGACAGAGGTGGGCGGACAGAGGAGAGGAGGTGTGAGATATTCACCGCCATGCTCCTCCTTGCTTCACCCCTGCACTTAATCCCCCCTCCCCCCCTACCATCCCCATGCTTGTCTCTATAACTATCGGCCAGGAGAGGGACAGATGTGGGCGGACAGAGGAGAGGAGGTGTGAGATATTCACCGCCATGCTCCTCCTTGCTTCACCCCTGCACTTAATCCCCCCTCCCCCCCTACCATCCCCATGCTTGTCTCTCTAAACATCGGCCAGGTGAGGGACAGAGGTGGGCGGACAGAGGAGAGGAGGTGTGAGATATTCACCGCCATGCTCCTCCTTGCTCCACCCCTGCACTTATTCCCCCTTCCCCCCCTACCATCCCCATGCTTGTCTATATAACTATCGGCCAGGAGAGGGACAGAGGTGGGCGGACAGAGGAGAGGAGGTGTGAGATATTCACCGCCATGCTCCTCCTTGCTTCACCCCTGCACTTATTCCCCCTTCCCCCCCTACCATCTCCATGCTTGTCTCTATAACTATCGGCCAGGAGAGGGACAGAGGTGGGCGGACAGAGGAGAGGAGGTGTGAGATATTCACCGCCATGCTCCTCCTTGCTTCACTCCTGCACTTAATCCCCCCTCCCCCCCTACAATCCCCATGCTTGTCTCTCTAAACATCGGCCAGGTGAGGGACAGAGGTTGGCGGACAGAGGAGAGGAGGTGTGAGATATTCACCGCCATGCTCCTCCTTGCTTCACCCCTGCACTTAATCCCCCCTCCCCCCCTACCATCCCCATGCTTGTCTATATAACTATCGGCCAGGAGAGGGACAGAGGTGGGCGGACAGAGGAGAGGAGGTGTGAGATATTCACCGCCATGCTCCTCCTTGCTTCACCCCTGCACTTAATCCCCCCTCCCCCCCTACCATCCCCATGCTTGTCTCTATAACTATCGGCCAGGAGAGGGACAGAGGTGGGCGGACAGAGGAGAGGAGGTGTGAGATATTCACCGCCATGCTCCTCCTTGCTTCACCCCTGCACTTAATCCCCCCTCCCCCACTACCATCCCCATGCTTGTCTCTCTAAACATCGGCCAGGTGAGGGACAGAGGTGGGCGGACAGAGGAGACGAGGTGTGAGATATTCACCGCCATGCTCCTCCTTGCTTCACCCCTGCACTTAATCCCCCCTGCCCCCCTACCATCCCCATGCTTGTCTCTATAACTATCGGCCAGGAGAGGGACAGAGGTGGGCGGACAGAAGAGAGGAGGTGTCAGATATTCACCGCCATGCTCCTCCTTGCTTCACCCCTGCACTTAATCCCCCCTCCCCCCCTACCATCCCCATGCTTGTCTCTCTAAACATCGGCCAGGTGAGGGACAGAGGTGGGCGGACAGAGGAGAGGAGGTGTGAGATATTCACCGCCATGCTCCTCCTTGCTCCACCCCTGCACTTATTCCCCCTTCCCCCCCTACCATCCCCATGCTTGTCTATATAACTATCGGCCAGGAGAGGGACAGAGGTGGGCGGACAGAGGAGAGGAGGTGTGAGATATTCACCGCCATGCTCCTCCTTACTTCACCCCTGCACTTATTCCCCCCTCCCCCCTACCATCCCCATGCTTGTCTCTATAACTATCGGCCAGGAGAGGGACAGAGGTGGGCGGACAGAGGAGAGGAGGTGTGAGATATTCACCGCCATGCTCCACCCCTGCACTTATTCCGCCCTCCCCCTATACCATCCCCATGCTTGTCTCTCTAAACATCGGCCAGGTGAGGGACAGAGGTGGGCGGACAGAGGAGAGGAGGTGTGAGATATTCACCGCCATGCTCCACCCCTGCACTTATTCCCCCTTCCCCCCCTACCATCCCCATGCTTGTCTCTATAACTATCGGCCAGGAGAGGGACAGAGGTGGGCGGACAGAGGAGAGGAGGTGTGAGATACTCACCGCCATGCTCCTCCTTGCTTCACCCCTGCACTTATTCCCCCCTCCCCCTATACCATCCCCATGCTTGTCTCTCTAAACATCAGCCAGGTGAGGGACAGAGGTGGGCGGACAGAGGAGAGGAGGTGTGAGATATTCACCGCCATGCTCCTCCTTGCTCCACCCCTGCACTTATTCCCCCTTCCCCCCCTACCATCCCCATGCTTGTCTCTATAACTATCGGCCAGGAGAGGGACAGAGGTGGGCGGACAGAGGAGAGGAGGTGTGAGATATTCACCGCCATGCTCCTCCTTGCTTCACCCCTGCACTTAATCCCCCCTCCCCCACTACCATCCCCATGCTTGTCTCTCTAAACATCGGCCAGGTGAGGGACAGAGGTGGACGGACAGAGGAGAGGAGGTGTGAGATATTCACCGCCATGCTCCTCCTTGCTTCACCCCTGCACTTAATCCCCCCTCCCCCCCTACCATCCCCATGCTTGTCGCTCTAAACATCGGCCAGGTGAGGGACAGAGGTGGGCGGACAGAGGAGAGGAGGTGTGAGATATTCACCGCCATGCTCCTTGCTCCACCCCTGCACTTATTCCGCCTTCCCCCCCTACCATCCCCATGCTTGTCTATATAACTATTAGCCAGGTGAGGGACAGAGGTGGGCGGACAGGGGAGAGGAGGTGTGAGATATTCACCGCCATGCTCCTCCTTGCTCCACCCCTGCACTTATTCCCCCTTCCCCCCCTACCATCCCCATGCTTGTCTATATAACTATCGGCCAGGAGAGGGACAGAGGTGGGCGGACAGAGGAGACGAGGTGTGAGATATTCACCGCCATGCTCCTCCTTGCTCCACCCCTGCACTTATTCCCCCTTCTCCCCCTACCATCCCCATGCTTGTCTCTATAACTATCTGCCAGGAGAGGGACAGAGGTGGGCGGACAGAGGAGAGGAGGTGTGAGATATTCACCGCCATGCTCCTCCTTGCTCCACCCCTGCACTTATTCTCCCTTTCCCCCCTACCATCCCCATGCTTGTCTCTATAACTATCGGCCAGGAGAGGGACAGAGGTGGGCGGACAGAGGAGAGGAGGTGTGAGATATTCACCGCCATGATCCTCCTTGCTTCACCCCTGCACTTAATCCCCCCTCCCCCCCTACCATCCCCATGCTTGTCTCTCTAAACATCGGCCAGGTGAGGGACAGAGGTGGGCGGACAGAGGAGAGGAGATGTGAGATATTCACCACCATGCTCCTCCTTGCTTCACCCCTGCACTTAATCCCCCCTCCCCCCCTACCATCCCCATGCTTGTCTCTCTAAACATCGGCCAGGTGAGCGACAGAGGTGGGCGGACAGAGGAGAGGAGGTGTGAGATATTCACCGCCATGCTCCTCCTTGCTTCACCCCTGCACTTAATCCCCCCTCCCCCCCTACCATCCCCATGCTTGTCTCTCTAAACATCGGCCAGGTGAGGGACAGAGGTGGGCGGACAGAGGAGAGGAGGTGTGAGATATTCACCGCCATGCTCCTCCTTGCTCCACCCCTGCACTGATTCCCCCTTCCCCCCCTACCATCCCCATGCTTGTCTATATAACTATCGGCCAGGAGAGGGACAGAGGTGGGCGGACAGAGGAGAGGAGGTGTGAGATATTCACCGCCATGCTCCTCCTTGCTTCACCCCTGCACTTATTCCCCCTTCCCCCCCTACCATCCCCATGCTTGTCTCTATAACTATCGGCCAGGAGAGGGACAGAGGTGGGCGGACAGAGGAGAGGAGGTGTGAGATATTCACCGCCATGCTCCTCCTTGCTTCACCCCTGCACTTAATCCCCCCTCCCCCCCTACCATCCCCATGCTTGTTTCTATAACTATCGGCCAGGAGAGGGACAGAGGTGGGCGGACAGAGGAGAGGAGGTGTGAGATATTCACCGCCATGCTCCTCCTTGCTCCACCCCTGCATTTATTCCCCCTTCCCGCCCTACCATCCCCATGCTTGTCTCTATAACTATCGGCCAGGAGAGGGACAGAGGTGGGCGGACAGAGGAGAGGAGGTGTGAGATATTCACCGCCATGCTCCTCCTTGCTTCACCCCTGCACTTATTCCCCCCTCCCCCTAGACCATCCCCATGCTTGTCTCTCTAAACATCGGCCACGAGAGGGACAGAGGTGGGCGGACAGAGGAGAGGAGGTGTGAGATATTCACCGCCATGCTCCTCCTTGCTCCACCCCTGCACTTATTCCCCCTTCCCCCCCTACCATCCCCATGCTTGTCTCTATAACTATCGGCCAGGAGAGGGACAGAGGTTGGCGGACAGAGGAGAGGAGGTGTGAGATATTCACCGCCATGCTCCTCCTTGCTTGTCCCCTGCACTTATTCCCCCCTCCCCCTATACCATCCCCATGCTTGTCTCTCTAAACATCGGCAAGGTGAGGGACAGAGGTGGGCGGACAGAGGAGAGGAGGTGTGAGATATTCACTGCCATGCTCCTCCTTGCTCCACCCCTGCACTTATTCCCCCTTCCCCCCCTACCATCCCCATGCTTGTCTCTCTAACTATCGGCCAGGAGAGGGACAGAGGTGGGCGGACAGAGGAGAGGAGGTGCTGGGTACTTACCATACTGCTACCTTTTGCTACACGATTATTTTCGCATCCCTATTTTTGGTTCTCTTTACCTTCAACGTCAGGCGGAGCTTGGACCAGACGTGGTTATTGCTGGGATAATTTTGTACAGTGACGTCACACACCTCAGCAACAACGGCAAGAAGAAGGCACATCCGGTGATGATGAGCATCGTCAACATCTCGCAAGGCAAGCGCTGGGCATCTTCTGGCCATGTGCTCTTGGGGAATCTCCCCATACCACTGGCTGGCATGAGCTCCGCACAAAGCACGAAGTTGTTTCACAAAGCCGTTGAGCTCATGCTACAACCCATCCTTGATGGCTTGAAAAGGTAATGTTTGCAAATCGAACCCCGATTGCCTCTCGTAATTTACACGTAACCAATTCCCGTTGTCCTTCAATGCACTCGTTGCCCACAATGCCGTTGTCATGCGGAGGTAATTCCATGCTCCATTCCGTCGCACTCACCAAGTATCAAACACTCCAGTGCACACGTTCTCAGAGCCGCGTCTGGTCCCTTTCAATGCAGTGGCTTCATGATGAAGGACCCAAATGGCGTTGAGCACCATGTGATACCCATCCTGTACGCGTGGGTGTGTGATTTTCCCGAGAGCTGCAAAATAACATGCACGCTTTCTGGTGCTACCAATCGGCCGTGCAGCATATGCTATGCTCACAAGGTATGTGGCACTTTGTTTAGGCGATCTACCATCAGTCAAACTAGTACCCAATGACATCTAAATCGCTTATGTTCGTCTTGGCGGGGTTTTGTAGTCAATGGTGCTCCCTTTCATTCGTGCAGGATCACTTGTGTGCCGTGTCAGCCCCAAACGTCTCACGCACTCCAGTGCAACAGTGTTGGATCAAGGAAAACTGGTACAAGGTGGTACAAGTGCAGCCGCGGAAAACACTTGGGATGGAATATTCGACGTTCGACGTGGATGTAAGTGTGACGAACGACAAGTTATGAACGGCCCCACATATTTGCCATCCACTTATAAGCCACCCTCTCTGCCATCTCATGTGCTCACCACTCTCTCTGCCATCTCATGTGCTCACCACTCTCTTTGCCATCTCATGTGCTCACCACTCTCTCTGCCATCTCATGTGCTCACCACTCTCTTTGCCATCTCATGTGCTCACCAATCTCTCTGCCATCTCATGTGCTCACCACTCTCTCTGCCATCTCATGTGCTCACCACACTCTCTGCCATCCCATGTGCTCACCACTCTCTTTGCCATCTCATGTGCTCACCACTCTCTCTGCCATCTCATGTGCTCACCACTCTCTCTGCCATCCCATGTGCTCACCACTCTCTCTGCCATCTCATGTGCTCACCACTCTCTTTGCCATCTCATGTGCTCACCACTCTCTCTGCCATCTCATGTGCTCACCACTCTCTTTGCCATCTCATGTGCTCACCACTCTCTCTGCCATCTCATGTGCTCACCACTCTCTCTGCCATCTCATGTGCTCACCACTCTCTCTGCCATCTCATGTGCTCACCACCCTCTCTGCCATATCATGCCTACCCGTCCCCTTCCCCTCCCCTCCAATGCGCCCCCCTAATCCACTAATAAGCCACCCTCTCTGCCATCTCATGTGCTCACCACTCTCTCTGCCATCCCATGTGCTCACCACTCTCTCTGCCATCTCATGTGCTCACCACTCTCTCTGCCATCCCATGTGCTCACCACTCTCTTTGCCATCTCATGTGCTCACCACTCTCTCTGCCATCTCATGTGCTCACCACTCTCTCTGCCATCCCATGTGCTCACCACTCTCTCTGCCATCTCATGTGATTACCACTCTCTTTGCCATCTCATGTGCTCACCACTCTCTCTGCCATCTCATGTGCTCACCACTCTCTTTGCCATCTCATGTGCTCACCACTCTCTCTGCCAACTCATGTGCTCACCACTCTCTCTGCCATCTCATGTGCTCACCACTCTCTCTGCCATCTCATGTGCTCACCACCCTCTCTGCCATATCATGCCTACCCGTCCCCTTCCCCTCCCCTCCAATGCGCCCCCCTACTCCACTAATAAGCCACCCTTTCTGCCATCTCATGTGCTCACCACTCTCTCTGCCATCCCATGTGCTCACCACTATCTCTGCCATCTCATGTGCCCACCACTCTCTCTGCCATCCCATGTGCTCACCACTCTCTTTGCCATCTCATGTGCTCACCACTCTCTCTGCCATCTCATGTGCTCACCACTCTCTCTGCCATCCCATGTGCTCACCACTGTCTCTGCCATCTCATGTGCTCACCACTCTCTTTGCCATCTCATGTGCTCACAACTCTCTCTGCCATCTCATGTGATCACCACTCTCTTTGCCATCTCATGTGCTCACCACTCTCTCTGCCATCTCATGTGCTCACCACTCTCTCTGCCATCCCATGTGCTCACCACTCTCTTTGCCATCTCATGTGCTCACCACTCTCTCTGCCATCTCATGTGCTCACCACTCTCTCTGCCATCCCATGTGCTCACCACTCTCTTTGCCATCTCATGTGATCACCACTCTCTTTGCCATCTCATGTGCTCACCACTCTCTCTGCCATCTCATGTGCTCACCACTCTCTTTGCCATCTCATGTGCTCACCACTCTGTTTGCCATCTCATGTGCTCACCACTCTCTCTGCCATCTCATGTGCTCACCACTCTTTCTGCCATCTCATGTGCTCACCACCCTCTCCGCCATATCATGCCTACCCGTCCCCTTCCCCTCCCCTCCAATGCGCCCCCCTACTCCACTAATAAGCCACCCTCTCTGCCATCTCATGTGCTCACCACTCTCTCTGCCATCTCATGTGCTCACCACTATCTCTGCCATCTCATGTGCCCACCACTCTCTCTGCCATCCCATGTGCTCACCACTCTCTTTGCCATCTCATGTGCTCACCACTCTCTCTGCCATCTCATGTGCTCACCACTCTCTCTGCCATCCCATGTGCTCACCACTCTCTCTGCCATCTCATGTGCTCACCACTCTCTCTGCCATCTCATGTGCTCACCACTCTCTCTGCCATCCCATGTGCTCACCACTCTCTCTGCCATCTCATGTGCTCACCACTCTCTTTGCCATCTCATGTGCTCACCACTCTCTCTGCCATCTCATGTGCTCACCACTCTCTTTGCCATCTCATGTGCTCACCACTCTCTCTGCCATCTCATGTGCTCACCACTCTCTCTGCCATCTCATGTGCTCACCACTCTCTCTGCCATCTCATGTGCTCACCACCCTCTCTGCCATATCATGCCTACCCGTCCCCTTCCCCTCCCCTCCAATGCGCCCCCCTAATCCACTAATAAGCCACCCTCTCTGCCATCTCATGTGCTCACCACTCTCTCTGCCATCCCATGTGCTCACCACTCTCTCTGCCATCTCATGTGCTCACCACTCTCTCTGCCATCCCATGTGCTCACCACTCTCTTTGCCATCTCATGTGCTCACCACTCTCTCTGCCATCTCATGTGCTCACCACTCTCTCTGCCATCCCATGTGCTCACCACTCTCTCTGCCATCTCATGTGATTACCACTCTCTTTGCCATCTCATGTGCTCACCACTCTCTCTGCCATCTCATGTGCTCACCACTCTCTTTGCCATCTCATGTGCTCACCACTCTCTCTGCCAACTCATGTGCTCACCACTCTCTCTGCCATCTCATGTGCTCACCACTCTCTCTGCCATCTCATGTGCTCACCACCCTCTCTGCCATATCATGCCTACCCGTCCCCTTCCCCTCCCCTCCAATGCGCCCCCCTACTCCACTAATAAGCCACCCTTTCTGCCATCTCATGTGCTCACCACTCTCTCTGCCATCCCATGTGCTCACCACTATCTCTGCCATCTCATGTGCCCACCACTCTCTCTGCCATCCCATGTGCTCACCACTCTCTTTGCCATCTCATGTGCTCACCACTCTCTCTGCCATCTCATGTGCTCACCACTCTCTCTGCCATCCCATGTGCTCACCACTGTCTCTGCCATCTCATGTGCTCACCACTCTCTTTGCCATCTCATGTGCTCACAACTCTCTCTGCCATCTCATGTGATCACCACTCTCTTTGCCATCTCATGTGCTCACCACTCTCTCTGCCATCTCATGTGCTCACCACTCTCTCTGCCATCCCATGTGCTCACCACTCTCTTTGCCATCTCATGTGCTCACCACTCTCTCTGCCATCTCATGTGCTCACCACTCTCTCTGCCATCCCATGTGCTCACCACTCTCTTTGCCATCTCATGTGATCACCACTCTCTTTGCCATCTCATGTGCTCACCACTCTCTCTGCCATCTCATGTGCTCACCACTCTCTTTGCCATCTCATGTGCTCACCACTCTGTTTGCCATCTCATGTGCTCACCACTCTCTCTGCCATCTCATGTGCTCACCACTCTTTCTGCCATCTCATGTGCTCACCACCCTCTCCGCCATATCATGCCTACCCGTCCCCTTCCCCTCCCCTCCAATGCGCCCCCCTACTCCACTAATAAGCCACCCTCTCTGCCATCTCATGTGCTCACCACTCTCTCTGCCATCCCATGTGCTCACCACTATCTCTGCCATCTCATGTGCCCACCACTCTCTCTGCCATCCCATGTGCTCACCACTCTCTTTGCCATCTCATGTGCTCACCACTCTCTCTGCCATCTCATGTGCTCACCACTCTCTCTGCCATCCCATGTGCTCACCACTCTCTCTGCCATCTCATGTGCTCACCACTCTCTTTGCCATCTCATGTGCTCACCACTCTCTCTGCCATCTCATGTGCTCACCACTCTCTTTGCCATCTCATGTGCTCACCACTCTCTCTGCCATCTCATGTGCTCACCACTCTCTCTGCCATCTCATGTGCTCACCACTCTCTCTGCCATCCCATGTGCTCACCACTCTCTTTGCCATCTCATGTGCTCACCAATCTCTCTGCCATCTCATGTGCTCACCACTCTCTCTGCCATCCCATGTGCTCACCACTCTCTCTGCCATCTCATGTGCTCACCACTCTCTTTGCCATCTCATGTGCTCACCACTCTCTCTGCCATCTCATGTGCTCACCACTCTCTTTGCCATCTCATGTGCTCACCACTCTCTCTGCCATCTCATGTGCTCACCACTCTCTATGCCATCTCATGTGCTCACCACTCTCTTTGCCATCTCATGTGCTCACCACTCTCTCTGCCATCTCATGTGCTCACCACTCTCTCTGCCATCTCATGTGCTCACCACTCTCTCTGCCATCTCATGTGCTCACCACCCTCTTTGCCATATCATGCCTACCCGTCCCCTTCCCCTCCCCTCCAATGCGCCCCCCTAATCCACTAATAAGCCACCCTCTCTGCCATCTCATGTGCTCACCACTCTCTCTGCCATCCCATGTGCTCACCACTCTCTCTGCCATCTCATGTGCCCACCACTCTCTCTGCCATCCCATGTGCTCACCACTCTCTTTGCCATCTCATGTGCTCACCACTCTCTCTGCCATCTCATGTGCTCACCACTCTGTTTGCCATCTCATGTGCTCACCACTCTCTCTGCCATCTCATGTGCTCACCACTCTCTCTGCCATCTCATGTGCTCACCACCCTCTCTGCCATATCATGCCTACCCGTCCCCTTCCCCTCCCCTCCAATGCGCCCCCCTACTCCACTAATAAGCCACCCTCTCTGCCATCTCATGTGCACACCACTCTCTCTGCCATCCCATGTGCTCACCACTATCTCTGCCATCTCATGTGCCCACCACTCTCTCTGCCATCCCATGTGCTCACCACTCTCTTTGCCATCTCATGTGCTCACCACTCTCTCTGCCATCTCATGTGCTCACCACTCTCTCTGCCATCCCATGTGCTCACCACTCTCTCTGCCATCTCATGTGCTCACCACTCTCTTTGCCATCTCATGTGCTCACCACTCTCTCTGCCATCTCATGTGCTCACCACTCTCTCTGCCATCTCATGTGCTCACCACTCTCTCTGCCATCCCATGTGCTCACCACTGTCTCTGCCATCTCATGTGCTCACCACTCTCTTTGCCATCTCATGTGCTCACAACTCTCTCTGCCATCTCATGTGATCACCACTCTCTTTGCCATCTCATGTGCTCACCACTCTCTCTGCCATCTCATGTGCTCACCACTCTCTCTGCCATCCCATGTGCTCACCACTCTCTTTGCCATCTCATGTGCTCACCACTCTCTCTGCCATCTCATGTGCTCACCACTCTCTCTGCCATCCCATGTGCTCACCACTCTCTTTGCCATCTCATGTGATCACCACTCTCTTTGCCATCTCATGTGCTCACCACTCTCTCTGCCATCTCATGTGCTCACCACTCTCTTTGCCATCTCATGTGCTCACCACTCTGTTTGCCATCTCATGTGCTCACCACTCTCTCTGCCATCTCATGTGCTCACCACTCTTTCTGCCATCTCATGTGCTCACCACCCTCTCCGCCATATCATGCCTACCCGTCCCCTTCCCCTCCCCTCCAATGCGCCCCCCTACTCCACTAATAAGCCACCCTCTCTGCCATCTCATGTGCTCACCACTCTCTCTGCCATCCCATGTGCTCACCACTATCTCTGCCATCTCATGTGCCCACCACTCTCTCTGCCATCCCATGTGCTCACCACTCTCTTTGCCATCTCATGTGCTCACCACTCTCTCTGCCATCTCATGTGCTCACCACTCTCTCTGCCATCCCATGTGCTCACCACTCTCTCTGCCATCTCATGTGCTCACCACTCTCTTTGCCATCTCATGTGCTCACCACTCTCTCTGCCATCTCATGTGCTCACCACTCTCTTTGCCATCTCATGTGCTCACCACTCTCTCTGCCATCTCATGTGCTCACCACTCTCTCTGCCATCTCATGTGCTCACCACTCTCTCTGCCATCCCATGTGCTCACCACTCTCTTTGCCATCTCATGTGCTCACCAATCTCTCTGCCATCTCATGTGCTCACCACTCTCTCTGCCATCCCATGTGCTCACCACTCTCTCTGCCATCTCATGTGCTCACCACTCTCTTTGCCATCTCATGTGCTCACCACTCTCTCTGCCATCTCATGTGCTCACCACTCTCTTTGCCATCTCATGTGCTCACCACTCTCTCTGCCATCTCATGTGCTCACCACTCTCTATGCCATCTCATGTGCTCACCACTCTCTTTGCCATCTCATGTGCTCACCACTCTCTCTGCCATCTCATGTGCTCACCACTCTCTCTGCCATCTCATGTGCTCACCACTCTCTCTGCCATCTCATGTGCTCACCACCCTCTCTGCCATATCATGCCTACCCGTCCCCTTCCCCTCCCCTCCAATGCGCCCCCCTAATCCACTAATAAGCCACCCTCTCTGCCATCTCATGTGCTCACCACTCTCTCTGCCATCCCATGTGCTCACCACTCTCTCTGCCATCTCATGTGCTCACCACTCTCTTTGCCATCTCATGTGCTCACCACTCTCTCTGCCATCTCATGTGCTCACCACTCTCTCTGCCATCTCATGTGCTCACCACTCTCTCTGCCATCTCATGTGCTCACCACCCTCTCTGCCATATCATGCCTACCCGTCCCCTTCCCCTCCCCTCCAATGCACCCCCCTACTCCACTAATAAGCCACCCTCTCTGCCATCTCATGTGCTCACCACTCTCTCTGCCATCCCATGTGCTCACCACTATCTCTGCCATCTCATGTGCCCACCACTCTCTCTGCCATCCCATGTGCTCACCACTCTCTTTGCCATCTCATGTGCTCACCACTCTCTCTGCCATCTCATGTGCTCACCACTCTCTCTGCCATCCCATGTGCTCACCACTCTCTCTGCCATCTCATGCGCTCACCACTCTCTTTGCCATCTCATGTGCTCACCACTCTCTCTGCCATCTCATGTGATCACCACTCTCTTTGCCATCTCATGTGCTCACCACTCTCTCTGCCATCTCATGTGCTCACCACTCTCTCTGCCATCCCATGTGCTCACCACTCTCTTTGCCATCTCATGTGCTCACCACTCTCTCTGCCATCTCATGTGCTCACCACTCTCTCTTCCATTCCATGTGCTCACCACTCTCTTTGCCATCTCATGTGATCACCACTCTCTTTGCCATCTCATGTGCTCACCACTCTCTCTGCCATCTCATGTGCTCACCACTCTCTTTGCCATCTCATGTGCTCACCACTCTGTTTGCCATCTCATGTGCTCACCACTCTCTCTGCCATCTCATGTGCTCACCACTCTCTCTGCCATCTCATGTGCTCACCACCCTCTCTGCCATATCATGCCTACCCGTCCCCTTCCCCTCCCCTCCAATGCGCCCCCCTACTCCACTAATAAGCCACCCTCTCTGCCATCTCATGTGCACACCACTCTCTCTGCCATCCCATGTGCTCACCACTATCTCTGCCATCTCATGTGCCCACCACTCTCTCTGCCATCCCATGTGCTCACCACTCTCTTTGCCATCTCATGTGCTCACCACTCTCTCTGCCATCTCATGTGCTCACCACTCTCTCTGCCATCCCATGTGCTCACCACTCTCTCTGCCATCTCATGTGCTCACCACTCTCTTTGCCATCTCATGTGCTCACCACTCTCTCTGCCATCTCATGTGCTCACCACTCTCTTTGCCATCTCATGTGCTCACCACTCTCTCTGCCATCTCATGTGCTCACCACTCTCTCTGCCATCTCATGTGCTCACCACTCTCTCTGCCATCCCATGTGCTCACCACTCTCTTTGCCATCTCATGTGCTCACCAATCTCTCTGCCATCTCATGTGCTCACCACTCTCTCTGCCCTCTCATGTGCTCACCACTCTCTCTGCCATCTCATGTGCTCACCACACTCTTTGCCATCTCATGTGCTCACCACTCTCTCTGCCATCTCAAGTGCTCACCACTCTCTTTGCCATCTCATGTGCTCACCACTCTCTCTGCCATCTCATGTGCTCACCACTCTCTCTGCCATCTCATGTGCTCACCACTCTCTTTGCCATCTCATGTGCTCACCACTCTCTCTGCCATCTCATGTGCTCACCACTCTCTCTGCCATCTCATGTGCTCACCACTCTCTCTGCCATCTCATGTGCTCACCACCCTCTCTGCCATATCATGCCTACCCGTCCCCTTCCCCTCCCCTCCAATGCGCCCCCCTAATCCACTAATAAGCCACCCTCTCTGCCATCTCATGTGCTCACCACTCTCTCTGCCATCCCATGTGCTCACCACTCTCTCTGCCATCTCATGTGCTCACCACTCTCTCTGCCATCCCATGTGCTCACCACTCTCTTTGCCATCTCATGTGCTCACCACTCTCTCTGCCATCTCATGTGCTCACCACTCTCTCTGCCATCCCATGTGCTCAGCACTCTCTCTGCCATCTCATGTGATCACCACTCTCTTTGCCATCTCATGTGCTCACCACTCTCTCTGCCATCTCATGTGCTCACCACTCTCTTTGCCATCTCATGTGCTCACCACTCTCTTTGCCATCTCATGTGCTCACCACTCTCTCTGCCATCTCATGTGCTCACCACTCTCTCTGCCATCTCATGTGCTCACCACTCTCTCTGCCATCTCATGTGCTCACCACTCTCTCTGCCATCTCATGTGCTCACCACCCTCTCTGCCATATCATGCCTACCCGTCCCCTTCCCCTCCCCTCCAATGCACCCCCCTACTCCACTAATAAGCCACCCTCTCTGCCATCTCATGTGCTCACCACTCTCTCTGCCATCCCATGTGCTCACCACTATCTCTGCCATCTCATGTGCCCACCACTCTCTCTGCCATCCCATGTGCTCACCACTCTCTTTGCCATCTCATGTGCTCACCACTCTCTCTGCCATCTCATGTGCTCACCACTCTCTCTGCCATCCCATGTGCTCACCACTCTCTCTGCCATCTCATGCGCTCACCACTCTCTTTGCCATCTCATGTGCTCACCACTCTCTCTGCCATCTCATGTGATCACCACTCTCTTTGCCATCTCATGTGCTCACCACTCTCTCTGCCATCTCATGTGCTCACCACTCTCTCTGCCATCCCATGTGCTCACCACTCTCTTTGCCATCTCATGTGCTCACCACTCTCTCTGCCATCTCATGTGCTCACCACTCTCTCTGCCATTCCATGTGCTCACCACTCTCTTTGCCATCTCATGTGATCACCACTCTCTTTGCCATCTCATGTGCTCACCACTCTCTCTGCCATCTCATGTGCTCACCACTCTCTTTGCCATCTCATGTGCTCACCACTCTGTTTGCCATCTCATGTGCTCACCACTCTCTCTGCCATCTCATGTGCTCACCACTCTCTCTGCCATCTCATGTGCTCACCACCCTCTCTGCCATATCATGCCTACCCGTCCCCTTCCCCTCCCCTCCAATGCGCCCCCCTACTCCACTAATAAGCCACCCTCTCTGCCATCTCATGTGCACACCACTCTCTCTGCCATCCCATGTGCTCACCACTATCTCTGCCATCTCATGTGCCCACCACTCTCTCTGCCATCCCATGTGCTCACCACTCTCTTTGCCATCTCATGTGCTCACCACTCTCTCTGCCATCTCATGTGCTCACCACTCTCTCTGCCATCCCATGTGCTCACCACTCTCTCTGCCATCTCATGTGCTCACCACTCTCTTTGCCATCTCATGTGCTCACCACTCTCTCTGCCATCTCATGTGCTCACCACTCTCTTTGCCATCTCATGTGCTCACCACTCTCTCTGCCATCTCATGTGCTCACCACTCTCTCTGCCATCTCATGTGCTCACCACTCTCTCTGCCATCCCATGTGCTCACCACTCTCTTTGCCATCTCATGTGCTCACCAATCTCTCTGCCATCTCATGTGCTCACCACTCTCTCTGCCCTCTCATGTGCTCACCACTCTCTCTGCCATCTCATGTGCTCACCACACTCTTTGCCATCTCATGTGCTCACCACTCTCTCTGCCATCTCAAGTGCTCACCACTCTCTTTGCCATCTCATGTGCTCACCACTCTCTCTGCCATCTCATGTGCTCACCACTCTCTCTGCCATCTCATGTGCTCACCACTCTCTTTGCCATCTCATGTGCTCACCACTCTCTCTGCCATCTCATGTGCTCACCACTCTCTCTGCCATCTCATGTGCTCACCACTCTCTCTGCCATCTCATGTGCTCACCACCCTCTCTGCCATATCATGCCTACCCGTCCCCTTCCCCTCCCCTCCAATGCGCCCCCCTAATCCACTAATAAGCCACCCTCTCTGCCATCTCATGTGCTCACCACTCTCTCTGCCATCCCATGTGCTCACCACTCTCTCTGCCATCTCATGTGCTCACCACTCTCTCTGCCATCCCATGTGCTCACCACTCTCTTTGCCATCTCATGTGCTCACCACTCTCTCTGCCATCTCATGTGCTCACCACTCTCTCTGCCATCCCATGTGCTCAGCACTCTCTCTGCCATCTCATGTGATCACCACTCTCTTTGCCATCTCATGTGCTCACCACTCTCTCTGCCATCTCATGTGCTCACCACTCTCTTTGCCATCTCATGTGCTCACCACTCTCTTTGCCATCTCATGTGCTCACCACTCTCTCTGCCATCTCATGTGCTCACCACTCTCTCTGCCATCTCATGTGCTCACCACCCTCTCTGCCATATCATGCCTACCCGTCCCCTTCCCCTCCCCTCCAATGCGCCCCCCTACTCCACTAATAAGCCACCCTCTCTGCCATCTCATGTGCTCACCACTCTCTCTGCCATCCCATGTGCTCACCACTATCTCTGCCATCTCATGTGCCCACCACTCTCTCTGCCATCCCATGTGCTCACCACTCTCTTTGCCATCTCATGTGCTCACCACTCTCTCTGCCATCTCATGTGCTCACCACTCTCTCTGCCATCCCATGTGCTCACCACTCTCTCTGCCATCTCATGTGCTCACCACTCTCTTTGCCATCTCATGTGCTCACCACTCTCTCTGCCATCTCATGTGCTCACCACTCTCTTTGCCATCTCATGTGCTCACCACTCTCTCTGCCATCTCATGTGCTCACCACTCTCTCTGCCATCCCATGTGCTCACCACTCTCTTTGCCATCTCATGTGCTCACCACTCTCTCTGCCATCTCATGTGCTCACCAATCTCTCTGCCATCCCATGTGCTCACCACTCTCTTTGCCATCTCATGTGATCACCACTCTCTTTGCCATCTCATGTGCTCACCACTCTCTCTGCCATCTCATGTGCTCGCCAATCTCTTTGCCATCTCATGTGCTCACCACTCTGTTTGCCATCTCATGTGCTCACCACTCTCTCTGCCATCTCATGTGCTCACCACTCTCTCTGCCATCTCATGTGCTCACCACCCTCTCTGCCATATCATGCCTACCCGTCCCCTTCCCCTCCCCTCCAATGCGCCCCCCTACTCCCCTAATAAGCCACCCTCTCTGCCATCTCATGTGCTCACCACTCTCTCTGCCATCCCATGTGCTCACCACTATCTCTGCCATCTCATGTGCCCACCACTCTCTCTGCCATCCCATGTGCTCACCACTCTCTTTGCCATCTCATGTGCTCACCACTCTCTCTGCCATCTCATGTGCTCACCACTCTCTCTGCCATCCCATGTGCTCACCACTCTCTCTGCCATCTCATGTGCTCACCACTCTCTTTGCCATCTCATGTGCTCACCACTCTCTCTGCCATCTCATGTGCTCACCACTCTCTTTGCCATCTCATGTGCTCACCACTCTCTCTGCCATCTCATGTGCTCACCACTCTCTCTGCCATCTCATGTGCTCACCACTCTCTCTGCCATCCCATGTGCTCACAACTCTCTTTGCCATCTCATGTGCTCACCAATCTCTCTGCCATCTCATGTGCTCACCACTCTCTCTGCCATCCCATGTGCTCACCACTCTCTCTGCCATCTCATGTGCTCACCACTCTCTTTGCCATCTCATGTGCTCACCACTCTCTCTGCCATCTCATGTGCTCACCACTCTCTTTGCCATCTCATGTGCTCACCACTCTCTCTGCCATCTCATGTGCTCACCACTCTCTCTGCCATCTCATGTGCTCACCACTCTCTCTGCCATCTCATGTGCTCACCACCCTCTCTGCCATATCATGCTTACCCGTCCCCTTCCCCTCCCCTCCAATGCGCCCCCCTACTCCACTAATAATCCACCCTCTCTGCCATCTCATGTGCTCACCACTCTCTCTGCCATCCCATGTGCTCACCACTCTCTCTGCCATCTCATGTGCTCACCACTCTCTCTGCCATCCCATGTGCTCACCACTCTCTTTGCCATCTCATGTGCTCAACACTCTCTCTGCCATCTCATGTGCTCACCACTCTCTCTGCCATCCCATGTGCTCACCACTCTCTCTGCCATCCCATGTGCTCACCACTCTCTTTGCCATCTCATGTGCTCACCACTCTCTCTGCCATCTCATGTGCTCACCACTCTCTTCGCCATCTCATGTGCTCACCACTCTCTCTGCCATCTCATGTGCTCACCACTCTCTCTGCCATCTCATGTGCTCACCACTCTCTCTGCCATCCCATGTGCTCACCACTCTCTTTGCCATCTCATGTGCTCACCACTCTCTCTGCCATCTCATGTGCTCACCACTCTCTCTGCCATCCCATGTGCTCACCACTCTCTCTGCCATCTCATGTGGTCACCACTCTCTTTGCCATCTCATGTGCTCACCTTTCTCTCGGCCATCTCATGTGCTCACCACTCTCTTTGCCATCTCATGTGCTCACCACTCTCTCTGGCATCTCATGTGCTCACCACTCTCTCTGCCATCTCATGTGCTCACCACTCTCTCTGCCATCTCATGTGCTCACCACTCTCTCTGCCATCTCATGTGCTCACCACCCTCTCTGCCATATCATGCTTACCCGTCCCCTTCCTCCCCCTCCAATGCGCCCCCCTACTCCACTAATAAGCCACCCTCTCTGCCATCTCATGTGCTCACCACTCTCTCTGCCATCCCATGTGCTCACCACTCTCTTTGCCATCTCATGTGCTCACCACTCTCTCTGCCATCTCATGTGCTCACCACTTTCTTTGCCATCTCATGTGCTCACCACCCTTTCTGCCATCTCATGTGCTCACCACTCTCTCTGCCATCCCATGTGCTCACCACTCTCTCTGCCATCTCATGTGCTCATCACTCTCTCTTTCATCCCATGTGCTCACCACTCTCTGTACCATCTCATGTGCTCACCACTCTCTCTGCCATCCCAGGTGCTCACCACTCTCTCTGCCATCTCATGTGCTCACCACCCTCTCTGCCATATCATGCCTACCCGTCCCCTTCCCCGCCCCTCCAATGCGCCCCCCCCCCCCCTATCATCAATGTTTTAACACTTTGCCTTTGCTTGCAGTCGTCCTTGTGGCTGTGGGACGTTTGGGGGAAACCGTGGGGAAATCCTTACCTCATCATCATGCCCGACATAATGCACCAAGCGGACCTTGGGATTCTCCATCACATAGTTGCTGAGATCCGTTTCAACTACGAAAAGTTGCTGCCATTGTTTGACAGGTTGGATTTGGTGGTTGTGAGATGGCATGTGGTCGAATATGCATGGCTGTATGACACGGCAATCATTGTTTTTACATGTTGTTGTGCCAGTGGATCGTCGTCGGTAATGTACCGTGTTTTCTCCATCACTATGTCATTTTGTCATGTTCAGGCGTTTGAAGGACCTGAGAGAAATCATTCGCATGACTCATCTTCGGCTACCAAATTCCTCGTACTTCGTGTCCGATGCACAGGTGGCGGCCTTTGAGCATCGGTCTGTCCTGCAGGCAAGTGTCACTAATATGGCACAATTTATAGTCTTATGCTCCCCACCCCGTTCTTAACTCCTACCACGTTGACCTTAAACACCTACACACCACACGCCCCCTTACACAACTCATGGTTTGCGTGATTCACGTTTGATGTAACCTGGACTGTATATTACCTTCCCTGAGTCCACAAATGCTGATTTTTGTGGTTGCGGACAAGCTCGGGGACCTCCAGCTGAGCGCCATTCGAGCATACCTCGAATGGTATCACTATTGTGCAAGGCTCCCCGGGCACACAGAGAGCACCCTTCAGCGTCTGCAGGAGTTGACCGACGAGTGAGCACTCGCCTTCCACCCAGTCGTGCATATCCTTGTGCCCACCCTTGGCTGTTTCGATCCATCTCGTAGACACGCTGCCCCCCCTTTTGTTTTTGGCCCGTCATGGTTCGGGGCTTAATTTACATCCCTTCAATGAACACAGCCACTACCAGGGCATATTTCTTCCTGCCACTAGGACGAGTGGCAAAACTGAGGAGGGCGGGAAGGGCACCTCCCTGCGCGGCACTCTGTCATGCTTCTCACCTCCCCACACGTACTCGCAAGTCAGCCCCTTGTATGCCCTTCTTTCCCTGCTAATAACAGGTAGGGGCAGAGGGGAGTAGGGTGAGAGAGGCAGAGGTGTGTGTGGAGCTTTGTTATGCTCATCTTGCATCACTCTGCGCTGCTACACTTACCAGCCCCTTATGTGCCATTCACCCCATTCACTCCACACCGTATATGAACAGTCTTGTGGCAAAGTTGCAAGATGCGTTTCCAACGCAAAAATCGGCATGGTGCATCATCAAGACTCACCTCCTCTCGCATTATGTTCCCGCCATTCGGAGGGCGGGTCATGTGTCGGAATTCTCGACAAACATGTGGGAGCACTTGCACGGTCCTCTTTTGAAGAGAATATACCGCAGATCCAACAAACGCAACGCCGACGCACAAATCATGAAGCATCACGAGAAAAGTGCGGCTTTCATCACGCTTGAGGACGAGGAAGGGGTTTGGTACATGTTAATGCAGCAGGTAACTAGATCATTCTAAGCTGCGTTTTGAATCAAACCTCTCTGTATGCTATGGGGTGATTTGAGTTCAATGTCTCTGCCCTCTCATGCCACAATCAACAAGTTTTATCCCTCTCATGCCATCCTAAACCTGATTCTTCCACCCCATGCCATCATCATCCTCTCCACCCTCTGATGCCTTTCTCAACATCCCTGCCCTACCATGCCATCATCAACATCCCTGCCCTACCATGCCATCATCAACATCCATGCCCTCCCATGCAATCATCAACATATCTGCCCTCCCATACCATCATCAACATCCCTGCCCTCCCATGCCATCATCGACATATCTGCCCTCCCATGCCATCATCAAAATCCCTGCCCGCTCATGCCATCATCGCCATCTCTGCCCTTCCACGCCTCCATCAATCTCCATGCCATCCCATGCCATCATCATCCTCTCCACCCTCTGATGCCTTTCTCAACATCACTGCCCTCCCATGCCATCATCAACATCCCTGCCCTCCCATGCCATCAACATATCTGCCCTCCCATGCCATCATCAACATCCCTGCCCTCCCATGCGATCATCAACATATCTGCCCTCCCATGCCATCATCAACATCCCTGCCCTCCCATGCCATCATCAACATATCTGCCCTCCCATGCCATCATCAACATCCCTGCCCTCCCATGCCATCATCATCATATCTGCCCTCCCATGCCATCATCAACATCTTTGCCATCCCATGCCATCATCAAAATCCCTGCCCGCTCATGCCATCATAGCCATCTCTGCCCTTCCACGCCTCCATCAATCTCCATGCCATCCCATGCCATCATCATCCTCTCCACCCTCTGATGCCTTTCTCAACATCACTGCCATCCCATGCCTTCACCCACACTTCTTGCCCCTATTGAGTTCATTCCATTCGCATTCCAGAGCGGTAATTTCCCTCCCCTTCTAAACTCACCCATAGGCAATGGACTCGGGGCGGCCAGTCTTGACGAGAGAATCAGAAGCACTTGCTGTTTCTCTGGCAAGTGACCCGACATCGGCCAAATTCTTTGCATCACGGTGGTCGCAGCAGCACCTGCATGCACACAGAGCTCTGACTCATGCCCTTGCAGATTACGGCATTACCTCGCCAACCATTCAAGTATGTAGTGATGGTGTTGATAGCGTTGCTGTCTCTTGCCCTTCCCCCCCGCGCCTTCTCTTCCCTTCCCCCCCCCCCCCCCCCCCCTTCTCTCTCTCTCTCTCTCTCTAATGGTCCTTTTATTGATATAGAAGTCAAGTACAGGCAGGCAAGTTATAGTGGCCTAGGTAAACAAGCATGCTGGTTGCAAACATCGCTGATCTACAACTCTACTAGGGGCTCTATCACTGCAAAGCAGTCCCCTAGATGCAACTCATCCCCAATTCCTCCCACCGGCGGGTTCTCAACCGCCGCTGCCTCCCCAAGCTTGAGCAGGAGGCCTACCAATTGGGCCTTTTGCAGGGCCACAGACCAGCGTTGCCTGAACTGGTGCAGGAACTTTGCAGCATAGAACGATTTAGAGTCGGCGTTGAAGTGCCGCCGAGCTGCAGTGTCTGCTAGGAGCTTCAAAAAGGCTGGTACCTCCGCACACGGGCAGCCATAGGTGTCCACAGCCAGGGGGAAGAAAGTCACCGTCTCTGGTAGGGAGGCATAATGCTGGATTTTCTTGTCCGCCTGCTCCCGGGCCGCCCAGCCCCTGCCCTTCTGTGCCTCCGGGTCCCTTGTGCTAATGGGATCGGTGATGGTGACGTCACATACATAGACGGCCCCACTGCTCCTGTCTGTCATCGTAAAGTCGGCCGTCTGTTCCTCAACGGGGCAGTGTGCCGAGGTCTCGCTGTGGACGATGAAACCCGCGTCCTGGGCCATGCTGATGCAGGCATCGCGCAGCTCGTTGTGGGTGTTGATGCGATGCTTGCCTGTGCCGCAGCGGAGAAAGTGGTTCGGGAGGCGGGGGTCCGTGATCTCCGTGTGATCCGCACAGTCGCAGTTCTTCGGCGTGGAGAAGGGGAGGGCCAGCCGGAAACGTACGGCATTGGAAAAGTGAGTGGGCCCTATCCTCCTGTTGGCCGCAATCGGGATAGCGGTCAGCCAATCCCCAGTCCCGTACCCCGTCATCGAGTACATCCGCTGCGTATGTCCGCACAGGGGGTTCACCGACATCTCCCTCGTCGCCTGCACCTGCGCCGCATATCTACTCCCATGCACTCTCAGCGCCAATGCGTGCTGGAGCCTCAGATCGGTTCGCTCCAGCCGTTCTTTCTCCAGGACTTCCCGCGCATCGCCGGGTAACGCTGCTTCACACTCCGACAGCCACGTGTGAAGGGGCGTGGTGGTGTCAGCGGGCAACTGCATGTGGTCCCGCGCCTGCGCCAGCGCGCCCTCAGGGGCGCCATCTAGTGATGCGATGAAAAGCGCCGCCTGCGTGAAGCTCGCGGCGAACCCGAAAACACCCTCGACCAGCGGGTCAGTGATGTCGATCCCTCCCAAAGACGGCGGCAAAGACGCCTGCGCCCAGACACGTGCTTGCTCGGTACGGCAGGTGGGGACGCGAAGGTGGCACGCTGTGAGTAGTGCCGCTAGCAGGTCTGTCCCCCACTGGCTCCAGGTCTCTCGTGGCAAAAGGGAGAGTGGTGTTGTTCTGGTGAGATATGCCACGCGCCTCGAAATGCAGCGGGTGAGCAATAACGAGGCCACCTGCGGGTCGGCTTTCTCAAGCAGTGGCAGAGGTTTGGCCATCTCCTGCAGCTGACCCGTCAGGAACTGTGACGCCCCCGTGTCAGGCCCCACGAAGCTTCCGAGCAAGCGAACACCATCCTGGGAGAATGGTACGCCGTGCGGCAACCTATCCTTAACTGCTGCTTCTCTGCTCCAGGCTTCGCATTTCTGCGCATTATGTCGTAATCCCAGGTGTGCCAGCTTCTCGGTGAAATGATTGAAGGCTGCTACAGTAACCGTCGCCTCCCCCAGGAATGTGACGTCGTCAGCGTATGCCAGACACAGCACCTGGGGGTGTGCTGCAGCAGTGTCACGGAGTGCAGTGTGCATTCCCGCCGCAAACAGTAGTGGGCCGAGTGGGTCCCCTTGGCGCACGCCCCGTTCGCTGATCAGTGGGTCCGATCCGAAGTTCGCGTCGACGAATAATTTCGACGGGTTACCGTATGTCAGTTTCACCAGCGGCAGTAGTGGCGACAACTCCGGTCCTTGTAACGCTGTCGCGATAGCTTGCCGTGAAATGCTGTTGAATGCATTTGAGATGTCGGTTTGCAGCACGAGGCTGTTGGGAAGCTTGTCCAGATACGCCCTTGCCACGTGGATGACTGCCTCGGCTCCTCCAGGCACAGCTACGCCATACTGTAGAGGCAGGAAAAAGGCCCGCGCGGCCTCTCCCATGGCTGCGAGGGCTGCTTTGGCAGTCAGCCGCGTGATACATTCGCCAATGGCGATAGGTCGAGCCCCCCCACCAGGTTTGGCCAGGGCAATGAGCCGTGAAGCTGTCAGTAGGTCCGACACCGGTGCTGGTAGGTTGCCCCCCAAAATGGTGTTAACCAAGGCGTGCAGATGGGTCCTAACTCGTCCATTCGTGATTGCCGCGTCGCGCATGTGTTCGAATGTTGTCCCCAAAGGCCCGGCACCGACCCCATTTTCACATCTCCCCAACAGTTTGGCAAAGTCAGCCTGGGTGATGGACAATTTTGACTCAGGCGAGGGTGGCCACGTCGTCTCCCCTGATTCGGCTGGCGGGTGTTTCTGTCGAAGCTCCACCAGAATCTCTGGAGTTGGGGTGCAGACTGGCGTTGACTCCAGCGCCAGCACAGCGCGTCGCAGGCTACCCCGTTTCGCTAGGCCCTCGGCCCGGCTGATGACCCCGGTTGCGTCGGGCTGGTGACGTGGAGGCGTGGGAGTGTTGACTGCTTCGATCGCATCCTGGTACAGTTGAGCCCACTCGCCACGTTGGAAGGCTCGGAGCCGGGCCTTGATCTGGGGCCAATTTGGTTTCCGTGGCGAGGTCTGGCGAAGTGTCAGACATGGCAAGAATAGGAGTAGGCGCCAACCTGCCTCTCCTTCCGGGTTTCGCGACAGGTTGAGTAACGGGGTTAGCAGCGCCAGCGAGAACAACTGGCACAAATTGGGCGGTAACCGCCTTGCCAGGGATGGTTGTCGACTGTCGCAGAGGGCTGGGATATCCCAGTTCGCGACGCCAGCGAACAGATCTGCTCGCGTCGCCAACTCTTCTGGCGTAAAATAGCGCGGGGGATTGGGATTGTCTCGCACCGCTGCCGCTGCCGTCGCGGCCCGATTTCTTCCAGTGCGGCCCGGCCTCCCTTGTGATGGTGCGGTTGGAATTTCGCCCGTACGATTGCCATCGGACGGTCCAGCCGCGGTGGTCCTTCCCTCTCCGAAGGACCGCCTTGGTCTCGTTCCCGTCATTCTCCCATTCTCCTCTACCCCTTCCTCTGCTTCTGTCCCTTCGTCCTCACTCAGTGGGGTTGGCTCTTCTCTATAAGAGGGGTCATTTTCTTCGTCTTCATTACGTACCCTAGTTAAAGCCCTTCTGGCCTCCCTCTGATAGCCATTCTCTGGCCCCCCTCCTCGACCGCTTACTGCTGCTCGCCCATCGCCTCGTGCTCCTTGTTCTCGCGATGGTGATTGCTGGTGTGACCGATTATTCGCCAATGCGCGCTGGCGCTGCGTCGGTTGTACTCGAAAGGCCGTCGTCTGCCTCAGGAGCGAGGACCGAGGCGCCGGGCTCCCCGCCGCTGACTGTTCCGCCGCTCGGCCTAGTAGCCGCTGAAAAGACTCCTCCCCTCGAATCCGCACGCCCTCTTGCCGTGGACGCGGTTGAGCCGTCTGCGCCGATGGTTGCTCCTCCCGCTCCGCCTGTCGCGCCCGCTCCGCCTGTCGCGCCCGCTCCGCCTGTTCTCCCTGTTCCTGCCGTGCCGCTGGCGGCATCTGCTCCTGCCGGGGAGGTCGCCGCTCATCCTGTCCCTGCGCCTGGCGTTCCAGCTGCACCTGCCGGTGCTGTCCCCGGCGTGCCGGCGCTGGCGTCTGCTTCTTCGCCGCTTGCGGTGTCCTCCACCACTGGCGGTCCGCCCTCGGTGGTTGCTCTTCCGAGCGCGGATCCGTCTCCTCCCGTTTCGCCGCCGGCGGCTCCGGTTGCTCTGCCCTCTCGTCCCCCGTCACCTGACCGCCGCTTGTCCCGGCCCCATTCTCCAGCGCCCCAGCAAGAGCGCGAAACGTCTCGGCGCCGGCGGAACTCCCCCCGGCGCTACCAGCAGCAGGCCCAGTGGCCAGCGCACCCAGGTGGCAGTGGGGGATGGCGGGGCCCCCCGGGGCGTGGTGGGGGCGGGCGGTATCGGCCGCCCGTGACGCTGGCGGACCTCCAGCGCGAGGTGTCGCGGGAGGTGTCGCGCGCCGTACGTCAGGGGAGGGCAGCGCCGAGCCAGAGCAGTCCGCGGCAGGTTGCTCCGGAGCCCGTTGCTCCTCGTTCGCCTGTGCATCCTGTAGCCCCTCCGCCGGCTGTTGTTCCTCCTCCTCTTGTCCCTGCCCCATCCGTTCCTTCTCCTTCTGTTGCGGTGCGGGCGACAGGCTCCCGCCTGCACCTGCCACCTGTTCCGCCTGTCGCAGGGGTAGAGTTCGTGGCGGCGGGTAGTGGCGTGGCTGCGGCTCCGTACGCAGCTGATGAGTCTCTCCGGTTCCTGACGGCGGCTCTGCTGCCTCCGCAGGCTCGCGTTTCTGAGACAACGC